TATTATCAGCATGTCCATCCTCGAGGCAATTTACAGATCCAATACAATACCCATTAAATTACCAACATCATATTTCTCAGATCTGATTAACTACAGAAATTTATTTGGAAACAAAGAGAATGAATAGCCAAAACAACCCTCAGCAAAAGGAACAAGAGGTAAGTACCACACTTCCAGATTTTAAACTTTATTACAAGGCTCCAGTAACCAAAACAGTCTGGGCAGGGATTCTGGAAGCAAAACCATGAACTCTCAACCATCTTATCTTTGACAAAGTCACCAATAATGATCACCGGGGAAAAGAGACCATATTTAGCAAATAGTGCTGGGAAAACAGGTTGACTACATGTAGAAGAATGTAACTGGACCCCTACCCATCACAATCTACAAAAATCAACTAAAAATGGAGCAAAGAGCTAAATATAAAATCTCAAGCTATAAACATATTATAAGAAAAAGTAGGAAACCCTTATGCACATCAGATTAGGTGACGAATTCTTGATCAAGTTCTCAAAAGTGAATGCCATAAAAGTGAATATAGATACTTGGGACCTTATCAGGCTGAAAAGCTTAAAGAGACAATCCACAGAATGGTAAAATATATTTGCAAATTATGCATTTGACAAACGTCTAACATCTAGGATTACAAAGAACTTGAAGCGTAAGGAAAAAAAAGCATTAAAAATTGGGCAAAGGACATGATCAGACACTTCTCAAAAGAAGACATTACAAGCAGTCAACAGACACATGAAAAACTGCTCAGGCTCATTAATCATCAGAGAAATGCAAAACTACAATGAAATACCAACTAACTCTGGAGTAAGGATGGCTATCATTAATAAGTCAAAAACAATAGATGCTGGTGGGAGTGCAGAGAAAAGGGAATGCTTCTACATTGTTGGTGGAAATACAAGCTAGTTCAATTTCTCTGGAAAGTATTGTGACAATTCCTAAAAGAACTAAAAATTGACCTTCCATACCATCCACCAACATATTTCCTGGGAAATATATCTGGAGGAACATAATCATTCTACAAAAAAAGACACCTACACATGCATGTTTATTGCCGTACTATTCACAGTAGCAAAAAGAACCAACCCTACTGCTCATCAAAAGTGAACCGGATCACGAAAATGTCGTACATATACACCACAGAGTATAACATGGTCATAAAGAACAAAATCATGGGCCTTACAGCAAACTAGATGGAGTTAAAGACCATGACACTAAGTCAACTATCACAGAAACAAATAACTGAATACCACATGTTCTCATTCATAAGTGGGCTCTGAACATTAGGCACATTAGCACAGGGGAGGGATCAGCAGTCACTGGACACTGCTAGGGGAAGGAGGGCAAAAGGACGGTGGGGACAAATGCCAAAACAAAGGGTATCGGGTCCACTACCGGGGGAGTGAAGGCCAGTTAGAAGCCAAAACTTCACCTGCATGCAGCCTATTTATGCAGTTAATCCATGCTTTCATACCACATCTCTACAATAAAATAATATTTAAAAAAATAAATATTTGAGGTTAAAATATTTGAGGTTAAACATAAAAGACCTTAATATTTTTATTCCTCAGGGTTTTAGAGTGAAAAAGGTCAGTATTTATGTTTATAGTAGCCAAGTGGTTTTAAGCTAAAGAGCTTAGATTATTTGAGTGGTGGTTGTACCTCATTCTATTTTTTTATATATGGAAATATCCCTTCACCATCACAAAATCAAACTTATTTATTTCTTTTTATTTGCTGAGTGTTTGAAGTTACTATTTTGCTCAAAGAGCTGTAAAGGTAAGTTAGAAATGCTTTACATGTATTTTGGTGTTTGAGAGAGACAAATAATTGGCATGCCTCTTGCCAGCCCATGTTTTAAACCAATTGAGAATAAACTTCAGAGTAAGCAGATTGAAGCTAAAATAACTCCTGAGTTTCTGATAAAAAGCAGCTTGAAGAATAACTCATGTGCAATTGTGTGCTCGAGTCAGCTAGTAGGGGGATTCTAAATGCTGACTGTTCACATATTTTGCCAATTTCGTGTTCAGTGACATCATGCTGGTATCTTGAAATCAGCCAGGGTGAGAATATTTGCACTATGAAAATTGGTAAATGATACAAATCAGGAATTCTCCCCCCCACCCCGAGATCTGGTTGTAGACATTTAACAGATACCACCCACTGTCTGAAAGGATGTCTTAGTCTAAGTACTGAACCCCAGGGTTTCCGATCAATCCCACAAGGTGTATACCAGAAAATATGCTCCCTGCACCTGGAGCTGAACAAATGTATTTTCTGCAGATTGCTTACTCAACAGAGGAAGGGGAAAAGAAGCGCTTTAATTATGTATGTTCTTTCCAAACTCTCCTATTCATTCTACCTTCCCAAGATAGAAGTGAGGATGTAGAAAAATGCAACTTCACTTGGAGGAAAACATTAGGAGTGTGAATGAATGTTCCTCACCTATTGTACCCAGCCTTCTGTTTTTTTGTTCTTTTGTCTATTGGATTAAAACACTGAGAAATGGGTTTTATTAAGGGTGTGATTGTTTCTCTGGAGGGAGGAAATTAGCATTCCATTAGAGGACTCTCTTTCTACCTTCATGAGGCTGCTATCACCATACCAACCATTGTTTCTTTGGATACCTTCCTGGGAATATTGGTGATCAATTTTTTGTTTCCAGAAAGTACTACCTACTGAACTCATATTTGAAAACAAAATATTAGTAGGTTAAAATTTTTTTCTCTACAGATACATCTACAGAATTTTCTTGCACATTTTATTTTTCCTATAACAATAAGTGATTTCACAGTAGAAGGCACACTCACATTGTGTTGAGAAGCCCAAGGCTGAGTAACTTTCCAGTGTGACATGCATGTCTGCCCATTATATAAACTGCACCCACACTTAGGTGTATAGGATTTGAGTAGTTTTGCAGCTACTGTAACAGTTTCCCAGAAGTGATGAAAGGTGTGCTCAGAAGTCTAGTTCGTCATGGAACTAACTTATACAACGTCCAGGCATTTCTAGGGGAAAAAAGTAAATAGGAAATACCTATATCTACTATACCACAGTCTTCATAAAGCACTAAAATTGTTCCAAATAGTTTTTTAATTACTAAATAAATTTCAATAGCTCTCTGTACTCAATTCCTAAAATGTATTTACTACTCTCTTTCTTATCTAATGATATTTTCAATTTGTCTAGCAGAAGTTTTGCAATTTGATTAACAGTCAAAAATAAGATACTCCCATAATATATTTGCATACAGAGCTCCAATACATAAGTATAAAATACATACAGAACTCCAGTAATAAAATGCCAATGGTAAGACTCTCCAATGTTTGTATATAAACTTGCTCTCATTGTTTAATTATTTTAGGGTGAACTGACCGACAATTTAATGCTTTCTTAAGTTAAAATACAGAAATATAGCCTGAAACCAAATTATCTTGCCCTTGGTCATCATAAAGTGCAAAGAAATTATAGTTCTTGACATTTTTTTTTTCTTCATCTCCCTTCTACCTACCATTCCCAGTCCTTGCAAATTTCTCATTCTTCTCTCTGGTCTTAATTATGATACTTTGAGCATTTCAGCATTGGTTTTCTCTCTCTCTGTCCTCTCTCCCTGTCTTCCCCCCCCCCCCCCGCTTCTCTTTCTTTCTCATAGTTCTTTTAAGGTCTAAGAAATGATGTGAATTTGATGCCAAGTCTTTGGTGAGGCATTTAATGACCCAAAGAGTTATTTAGATGCACATAATTATTGTAAGCACTTACCCTACAAAATAAAAGTTCAAAAGTGAGCCTATTTGATTCCAGGACCTTAAAAGGATTTTTCAAAGACCACCTTTATTTTTATTCTATCTCTTCGTTGGTTAGGTTTCATTCTCAAGTACATTATTTTTTAACGACATGTTCAAGATATCTGCAGTCTTTGTATTCTTTGATCCTTGAGAGTTTCTGTCAGTTGTTTCTATAATTGGATAATTTGGAGATTTTAAAATGTCCTGATTATTTTCAGAATGTGTAGACCTTCTCACTGAATATGTTTCTATTGACACTTAATAGTTATAAATATTTGCAGGGTATATGTGATATTTTTATGTATCCATATAATGTTTAATGAGTGGATCAGGATAATTGGGCTAGCCATCATCTCAAATATTTATTTTTTCTTTATACTGGAAATATTATAATTTCCTCATAGCTATTTTGAAATATACAACAAATTAATATTGATCAAATCCTTTCAACATAATTTTCCTTTCATCTTCTGGGTTGGTGAATTTTGGTGTTTGTTATATACCATGGTTAATTAAGTTTTGAAATCATCTTGTCCCTTGTGTCCCTTGTGTACTTGATAAACAGCTTAGCTGGTTGACAGTCTTGGGTCAAAAAGAGACACAGTGATTTCTGAGGGAAGGATGGTTTAACTTACAAAAGTTTGAGAATGGGCCATTGATTCAAATCACTTGATGTTTAAAGAGAGTTATAGATATCATAGCTGAAACACCTTTGCATTCTGGCTACTGGATTGTTCACTGAAGAAGCTGAGCTAATGTACACATCCTCCAATGCAGGGCTTCAGTACTTCTGACTACACATGTTCTGCCATGTGCATTCTCTAGTCAGGTTCCTCTGCTTTGCCCCTTACTACTTCCTCAGAGCACAGGTATGTGTTTTATTACTAAACTCACTCTAAAGTTATAAAGTTAGCATATGAATAGTATAAATACATTCATAGTTTTAGACCAAACAAGCATTTTACAGTAAGTTTATCAACTTTTTATCTTCCGGTTCCCAAACATATTTACTATATTTATTTTCAATTTTGAAATTGTATTTATTTGAACAGTTTTTTGTTGTTTCCAACGCATTTTAAACAATGTGATACTAATTGTGGTAACATATTTTATAATTTCTTTTCATTGACAGATATCACTATAAAGGAAGTATGCCACAGTGCCCTTTTTCTGTTTATTTGCTTCCTTTTTTTTTTTTTTTCCTGAAAAACGGAACAAACAGAAGTGATTTTTTCTGGTACAGCCCCAAGGTAGAAAATGTGGAGCAGGCAGGGCCTTGCACCCCTGCCCACCCCCCCATAGGGCGGGGTTGCAACACATATGCAATCATAGTAAATTGGCAGAAGAAAAACACAACAGATTCCTGGCTAAAGGGGGAGAGATAAGGCAACGTACAGGGGGGAGCTCCGAGGGGAGACACAGCCCCTCTGACCTCCCACAAGAGTATTCCCTTTGGCTCCGGATGAAGACTTGGCTGGCAGCAGAGGCATAGATGGGAGCACCTCTTCCAGTGCCCTGGCTTTTCTGTTCTCTGTGCTCAGGGGCAAGGCAGCGCTGTGAGAGGGAGACATGTTTCGGCACCAGTCCTGCTGCAGGCCACCCAGGAGACAGATTATTCCATCTTCTTTAGATTCTCTTTCCTTGGCACCATTGCTTTGTGAACATAAGGCAGTATGAATAGTAGACTCAAGAAGAAGATGTGGCCAAGAAAATAGATGGATTTGTACACCTTCAGTCATTTGTCCCACGTGAAGAGGCAGAAGGCAGTCACCGAGTAACCCATGAAGAGCCAGTGGATGGTCTGTTGCACCAAGTAGTAGACAGGTTGCAGGACAGTCATGGAGGCCAGGTTGCTCAGGGTGGAGCTCTCCGGAATCAGCCTGGCGGCCTGTCTCTCCACGATGACGATGAGGAATTCCATCTGGAAGCAGACCAGGTATCCCGAGTGCAGGCCATGCCAGAGGGCCAGGAACAGGAGTGAGAGGCCCTGGGAGAGCTCTTTGTTTCCAAGGAACTTGAGTCGTTTGAAGAAGTAACGGGCCACCCAGGCGTTGGTGTTGATGCTGAACGAGGCGATGGTGCCAGTGAAGCGCGGAGTTGTCTCGAAGAGCCACCTTCGTGTTGGCGCAGGCCTCCCACTTGGCCTTGCCCGCTTCTGTGAAGTCGTTGAAGCCCAGCCCCGTGAGGATGCACACTCCTTCTGTGACCAGCCAACAGGTGACGCACTGGTACAGCACAAACTTGCCCCAGACCAGCATGTACATGCAGCGGAACCAGAAAGGGGGTTTCCGCAGTCCTCGGTGAGGAGGTAGTCTTCCGTGATGTGTGGGCTGAGCAGCGTGTAGCCCACCAGGTAGACGAGGCCCAGGCCCAGGCTCAGGCGCTTGAGGGCAGGGACGGTGCTGTTGGGTATCCTTGCTGGCACGTCAGTCAGCTGTCCCCGCACCAGCATCATGTAGTGGTTCCTTGAGAACTGGGGCCCCACCAGGAAGGCCCCACAGAAGTAGGAGAAACCAGCTACTTCCAGCAGGGAAGGGACACCCGGTATGGCATACTTCTGCTGCTCAGAGGTCAAGGGACTCGGATCTTTCCCTCCGTCAAGGTAGTCCGTGGCCAAACCCATCAGCTTCAACGTCAGGACACAATGCGGCATTGTCCACTTGATGTTGTCGTTGCCGGTGGCTGTGTAATAGCCAGCAAGAAGGTAGGCCGTCTGGAGGCCAAAGGTCAGGAGGACGGCCGTGACGGTGCGGCCCAGGAGCTGGAGGATGAGGAACAGCAGCACAACGCAGAGCAGGGCGTGGCAGAGCTGGTTTCCAACGTTAAAACAAGCAATTGAGAGACCCGTAAAGGTGTGGAAGAGGTGGATGGGGCAGCTGTCCTTGTAGAAATGGTAATGCCGATAAAACAGAGCGAGGGGGTAACCCAGGAAGATGGAGATGACGAGCCGCAGCGCCTGCTCCGACGCGCCCAGCGACGCGGCCAGCTCTCCGAGGCTCAGCTCCGGCACGTCCGGCCACAGGGGCCCCGCGGCGCCCGCATCCCTCTCGGCCGCCATCTTGACTGCCAGCGCCGGGCCAGGCCGCGTGCCCCTAGTGCGGGCCGATGTGGTGGCTTGGCCCGTTCCGCTCGGCCAGCCCCCGGGCTATTTGCTTTCTTAGTATAAAATCTACATTTTAATAGTTATATATTACACCTTTAAAATATTTAAAGTTTCTCCATGGTAAAGCAAGCTAATATATTTGTCAGGCTTTGTACTTTTTAAATATTTTTAATCATGAACATCCTTAAGCATATGTTAAAGTGGAAAATAACATCATAGCCACAAGGTATCAATGATCCAGATTGAACACATTCTTGCTTAACATATTTGCCCAGGAACTTTTTTTTCCAATTTAAACTACACAGACGTAGCAAAACCCCTGATGCCTTTGTTCTCAATCCAATCTTCTCCACCTCCTTGAAACTGTTGCTTATTATCACTGTTGCTTTTAAATTTTACTACATACATACTCCTGTTAATATGTTTTCTTATGTGTGTTTTTAGAATTTCTGAACTTTGTTTAAATTATTATTTTCTTGTTTAGTGATTATTGAATTTAAAAGCAAAAAATGAATTTTAAATCCTCCTCCATGTTTGATATGATCCTATGCTGTCTAGTATATTTTCAAGTAATTTTGTTTTTGTTTTAATTTATGATTATTTTTAAATAAATTTATAAGAGATCTTGTAGTCTGTGTGTTCTTAGAGCCTTGAGAGTTTCTGTCAGTTGTCTCTATAGTTGAAAGATAACCTGACAAATTTATAATAGTCCAATATATTTTCTTCAGGATATTAGATTGTAGATCTAATCATTTCATTATAGCTTGTCCTTTCATCTTTTGTGTTGGTAAATTTTGAAGTTGAGATTTTTGTTGGGTTCTTGAGGTTTGGGACTGTTATGGCTGTTTTCTTTATACTTCACAGCAACTAGGCTGGACATACTGTTCTTGGGTCATACTTTCTTTACTTCTTTATACCCACTGTTGTTCCATTTTCTGTCATTTGATGTTGCTGTAAGACAGTCTGAGACCAGCCTGACTTTTCTCTAATATTTAAAATACTAAACTTGCTCCTTCTTCTTAGTGGTGATTGTTTACCAACAGATTTTACTGGAACACAATGTAGAGTTTACATGGTCAAATTCAGATGTTTCTCAGAGGAATTCACCTCTTGAGCACTTTTTATTTTCTGTTACATGATAGTGGTGTCTATTAGTAACCTAATACTAAAAGTAGTATTCCCTAAAAATATATATTAACTTTGTATTTTCTCCATACCTGTTATTTTCTCTCCAATCTTTTTTCTAATTTCTTTAAACCTAATCAAGAGAGACCTTTGCCTGGAGTACTGTGCTTAGAACATTCTATTCTGCCCCTCTCCAGCCAAGCAGCCATGCCCACCTGGAGTCTGTATTTCCCCTCTAGATCTTTCTATAGTACCGGAGACCCTGGAATTTCCCAAGCATTGGCTCTCAAGGGCAGTAATTGCTTCTTGTCATGAATTTTCTTTCTGGAGACAGATGAAACCATTCAGTATACTTTTCCTTTAACCCAAGGAATGAACAAAGGTTTGACTGCAGGGACTATGAATAGAACTAGAAAGTACAGACTGGGGTATTTGAGTCACCTTATGGCTTAAGGTACTGCTGTGGTGAAAAAAGGAGGGTGATGGTTCATGCTCAGGGATTGGGAGCCAAGAGTTATTTCTTCTTCACTGCCACACTCTGACATGGAATGCTCGTTGTCCACAAAAATCTGTATTCAAAACTAAGCTTTCAGATCTTTTTGTCAAGGCATATTTTTCAAGGTAGAAAGGTAGATTATATAAATATTTTTAAACAGTTTGTTAGCTTGAAATGACTTTTACTTAATATTTAGATATATAGTATTTTACTCTTACTCTGGGACTTGAAAAGATTAGGGCAGGCCTGTATGAACTCTCCAGTTTTTCCCTTCCATGGTCACAGTGATGATGTCAATCATTCAGTTTCAATCATGTCTATTCTCCTTACTGCTGTATACATTTTATGTACTAGTTGGTAATAGTGGTATTTTGGAACTCAGTCTGTTTCTTTGAATTTTTAATTCCTCTTCTATTTTACTTTGTTGTCTTATATCTTATTATATATTTCTGCAGCACAAAACACTCAGGGAAAAATCTTCAGTTTTCATGCAAACTCAGCGCTCACCTGTCTTTTGCACTATGTGTTCTTTTGTTTCTTTTGTCCTCTATCCCTTTGCCACAATAGTGTTTATAGAGTCACCTTGCCAAGTCTTTTCATCTTGCTATTTTTAACTTAATCAGCTCTGCTAAGATCTTCCATTAGGCCTGAAGAACTATGAGTGACTTTTCCTTAACATGCTCCCATTATATCTAAGACCGATAATCTTCCCAGGCAAGGGCCAGCATGAAGGCCAGCTTATTTCATGTTCTAGTCACAGTCCTGTACCTTAAAGGCCTGAGAGCTTGTAAAGCAAGGGTGGGGGCATGGGCGTAGATGGGATGAGGAATTACTGCTCTCCCTCTGTAAAATAGGTACATATGTTGTGTTTCAGTTCATTATACCACCACATTTGGGGGTTTACCATGGGCTTCTGGGAAATCTCTGTGTGTGTTGTATGTGTCCAGTGTGGCTCAGCACTTCTGCCTCAGGCATTCAGCCAATGGTCACTTTACTTGTCTCACCATCCTCTCTTCTGCTATTTTGCCCATACACAGTCTCCGTATTTTTCTTGTCTTTGGCACTATTTGTGAAAATGTGAGGGGATTTTTTTCCTTCTCTGATTCCTCAGTGGGGCATTAAGGCCAGTCTTAGGATCTACACTGAACCAAGATAAAGCCCTCTCTTTCTTCTTTTGCTGATAGTATTTCAAATTTAAGACAGCAGATTGTGCTCTTTAGTGTTTTGTTTGTTTATTTATTCTATTAAATGTTTATGCTATTTATTATTTTGATTATTGAGGAAGGAAATTCTACTTTACTCTATCATCTGTTTCCTAAACATTTCACTATGACTACCTTTTTTTGTAAGTGAAAGTAATGCATGTATGCTGTTGAAAAAGTTAAAAATTTTGGACAGGAAACCAAAAGAAAAATAATGATAATAAAAATCATTTTGTTTTCACTTTTCTTTGGTGCATACCTTCTACCATGAGTATTTATTCTTACTGCCCAGAATCTTTTCCTTTATTATTGCTTCCTAGAGATTCCATTCCTCATCATGCCGGCTTAAGTAAGTAGACTTTGTTCTTTAACTAGACATTCCAAAACACTTGAAGTTAAGTAAAATGAGCTTACAAGAAAAAGTGTTCATTAGAAGATCATACATTATAACTTTTCAACATTCAAACTTCACTTGTATCTAAGAAGCTCTTGACTCTCTGATATACACATCCAGATCACTATGGAGCGCATCCAGTTTATTGCTGCGAATTCGATGATGAGTTTGTCACTTTTGACAGTGGAATCTAAGCTATCTCTCAGTATTGGCACAATTTGCTGAGCAATTCTTTTTTAAAAAATATTTATTTATTTAAGTTTTTTTTTCCATTCTATTTTATTTTTTTTTTAATTGTGGGGTACAATTCAGGTTTAGGTATACAAATATTCATTATGCAGGTTTGGCCCCCTTTCCCCAGGCAGATTCCCACTACTATTAATCCCACCTCTCCACCCCCACACACCTCCACAGTTTCCCGATACTGTCGATCCTTTTATTATAGTATTATGATGGTTGTTCAAGTTTCACTTATGAGTGAGAACATGTGATACTCAGTTCTTTGTTTCTGTGAAAGATCACTCAGTATTATAGACTCTAAGTCCATTCAGGTTTCTGTGAAGTTCATAATTTTGTTCTTCTTTATAGCTGCATAATATTCCATTGTGTATATGTACCACTTTTTTAATACAGTACTCTTTTGATCGGCAACACAGTTGGTTCATTGTTCTTTCTATTGTGAACAATGCTGTGATAAACATACATGAGCAGGTATCTTTTTTAATAGAGTGATTTGAGTTCTTCTGAGTATATTCCCAGTAGGGGGATTGCAGGGTCATATGGAAGGTCGATTTTTAGAACTTTTAGGGATCAACACACTGTTTTTTTGTTGTTTTTGTGTGTGTGTGTTGGAGTCTCACTCTGTCACCCAGACTGGAGTGCAGTGGCCGCTCCCAGCCACCGCAGCCTCGACCTGCTGGGCTCCAGCAATCCTTCCACCTCAGCCTTCCAAGTAGCTGGAATTACAGGCATGCGCTACCACGCCCGGCTGATTTTTTTTTTATTGTAGAGATGAGGTCTCGCTGCCCAGGCGGGTCTCGAACCCGCGGGCTCAGGCAATCCACTCACCTCAGCCTCCCAAAGGCACGGGATTACAGGCTGAGCCACCGAGCCCAGCGCCACACTGTTTTACACAAAGGCTATACTAGTTACACTCCCACCAACAGTGTAGAAGTGTTCTCTTTTCGCCACATCCTCTCCAGCATCTGTTATTTTTTGAGTTATTGATGAAGGTCATTCTGACAGAAGTTAGGTAGTATCACAGTGTAGTTTGAATTTGCATTTCTTTGATGATTAGTGAGGCTGAAAATTTTTTTCATGTATCTGTTGGCTGCTTGTTCGTCTGCTTTTGAGAACTGTTTATTCATATTTTGCCCACTCTGTAATGGGGCTGCTTGTTTTTTTTCTTTTCAGCATGTTTGAGTTCCTTGTAGATCCTTGATGTTAGGCCTTTGTCAGACATGGATTTGGCAAATATTTTTTCCCAACCTGTGGGCTGTCTCCCTGCTCTTTTGATGGTTTATTTGGCTTTGCAGAAGGTTGTCAGTTTAGTGAGGTCCCACTTGTCTATCTTGTCTCTTATGCCATGCCAGTCTTTAAAACAACTTGTAATAGAAAGTAGCATTCAGTGACACCTGGTGGGTCAAAATCTATTTTGAGGTAGACTGGAGGTAATTGTTTTTGATTTATAATAAACATAAATGTAATAGAATTAATTTACTTTAAAAATTAATATTCA